AGATTAACTTTTTTTTTTCTTCCCCCAAGCCGTTGTTAGATGCCAGTGTTTCCTGTCATAGGTATGCAAAGTTTTGATTTCAAAACGGTATCATAGCAACTCAGCTGTTTCTTATTATGGTTTTAAATCTGTATTTACCCCGAGAATGATCTCAAAGTAGGGACTAAAGTCTGTTTTTGTGGTGGCTGTGCTTTAAATAAATTATTATAATCTTAATTCAAGTGATTTAGGATAATGGAAGTGACCGTAATCAGTGTTGAGTAATACTGTAAGGTTAATCCTGCCTGATTTACATGAAAGTTGAAAATGATCAACTGTTGAAAAAATAGAAATTTAGGGAAATAATCAAATGTAATCCGTTAGTTACTTCACAGTTATAGAAATAGTTACACGACTTATTACATTTTAGATGGGGTAACTTATCATCTATAACCTATTACATTTCCAAAGTAACTTTCCCAACACTGCTTTCAAACCAGTTGGCTTCCTTTTGACTCTACCTCAAATTATTTACAATCAGTGGCGGTGCTAGGGCGGGGCTTGACGGGGCTATCCCCATCAGAAACTTGCTTAGCCCCGGCACAGCCCCCCAAGGATTTCCTAATGATGTTCCTGTTTTTTGGTGTCACTTTCATTAACATTAAAAACCTAAAAAAGTGCCTAATATGTGGCCTATAAACAATTGCTATTATGGGGGAGGGGTCAAGTAACGCAAGCAAGGCGCAAACTGTGCGGAAGAGTTATGCTAGGTGTCCTGACACTTTATCCTACCAGTCAGATTGCGTCCTTTTTTCTTTTTTTTTTCTCACGCTGAATAACAATATTTAATGTATCTGCAAGGGTAGGGTTGGGGTAGGTTTAACAAAACAAAAAGGATAGACTTTAATAAAACGCAATCTAATAGGTAGAAAATTATTTATTGTTGGTTTCCTGTAGCTGTATCCCTTCTAGCCACAACCGCGAATATAACACCTAATTAGCCTACTGTAGGCCTATTTGCATTACTGTAAGGGTAGGTTTGTTTGTTGTAGACGTTAATAAACCATTTTACAGGTAGCATTTTTCGTTGTCATTGTACTACCCACTGTTTTAATGGGAGGTAGCAAAATCTGACAGGGTAGCACAAATCGAAAGAGAAAGTGAAAGTAAAAAAAAAAAAAAAAAACTGACGGAGCTTTCTTAGGGCCGCTTTCTACTACTAAATTTATTTAAAAATGCTAACGCTGCATTAATCGCTTGTAGTAGCTCTACTAAATTTATAAAAAAAATGCTAACGCTGCATTAACGGCGCATTTCTCTGAGACAACGAGAGACTAAACTACTTCAACATATGCTGATAACGGTACAGTACATAACGGTCTTAAATTATTACCTTAGTATTTCTCTTGTGCCCCGTATAGTGGAAAAACACGAGAAGAAACGCATTTCGGCTTAAACGGGTTGTTTTTGATGATCGGTGCACACAATAAAGCTGCTCTTAATTTTCATTGCAGTGTTAATAATTTTAATTATAGGCCCATAATTCATTGTATAAATTAATAGAGCTGTTAAAAAAAAATTATAATAAATAAACTTAAAACATTTTCAGTGAGGAGTAAGCTAATAGCCTAAACTTTAATTCTCCTCACAGCGCGTTATGCAGTGATGCGCTATGAAATTATTGTGGGGCAATAATTTCATGTAATTTATTAAAGTAACCTAATAATAGTAATTATATAATAAGAATGTAATAGGCCTGCATTAATTGGAAATGCTAAGTCCTCTTAATATTGCCAATTTGACGCTTTTGACTATCTCTGGCTATCGTCGACGCATGATACGACGCATCTCAGCACGGTGAGGTTATCGGCCCCCCGCAGTGCGTGCCAGTCAGCTTATGCCACTGTGTGGAAATGGTTCTATGAATTGTCGACACTTTATCTAGTGTAAAAAGGGTTAGAATGTACCATGTTTTCCTGCCAGTTGGCATCGAGAGTGACACAAGGTGGCTGAATTGGCATGCTATTTAGATAGCTAAATCTTTTAGGCGTTCATTACTTTTTAGCACCCCCTCTGAACTGTTAAGCCCCTCCTTAGCACCCCCCAACAACAAGAACAAAAAAATCCTGGAGCTGCCACGGTTTACAAAAATGCCTTATGGCTCGATTCATTTTCAGAAACCATTACTTGCATACTTTCCTTTTAAGTGTATTGGTTTCTCTTTTTATTTTTTGCAGACATGTCTACCAGCTTGCAGTTCCTTGGAACTACACTTGGCGTTCTCGGCTGGCTGGGCATCATCATATCATGTGCCCTTCCTCTATGGCGTGTGACTGCTTTTATTGGGACCAACATTGTGACGGCGCAGATTATGTGGGAAGGGCTGTGGATGAGCTGTGTAGTGCAGAGCACTGGCCAAATGCAGTGCAAAGTGTACGACTCCATGCTGGCTCTTCCTCAAGACCTACAGGCCTCTCGAGCAATCCTTATCATTGCTTCCCTTGTTGGTTTAATAGCAATACTTGCCAGTTTTGCAGGTGGTAAATGTACTAACTGCTTGCCAGATGGTTTCGCGAAGGCCCGGGTTGCTGTAGCAGGAGGTGCCGCCTTTGTCACTGCGGGGGTCTTGGGTTTGGTGCCATCTAGTTGGACTGCCCATCAGGTCATTGGGGACTTTTACAATCCTCTAGTGGCCCATGCTCAGAAGAGGGAGTTGGGAGCAGCTATCTTTATCTGTTGGGGGGCAGCAGTTCTCATGCTGATTGGTGGAGGACTCCTCTGCAGCTCTTGCCCAAAAGGAAGAACGTCCCGTGGGGGGCGGTATATGGCAGCTTCTCAAAATAGAAGGGAGCGCTTGGAGTATGTGTGACTGCAGGATGTTTGACACTTCTGAGAACTGATTTGTGGATGGGTTTTTAAGTGTGTTATCTTTGTAAATGTGTGTTTGTGGCTAAATTTAAAATTTTTTTTTTTTGTGACCAGAATTTCAACCGGTTGCGGAATTGCTGTCAGTTGAGCTAATAAAATAAAAATTGTATCCAACAGAGGGCAGTATTGATTCTATAGTGACTTGTTTAATTGAGCTAAATTATGGCAATATTCTGAATTCTATTTATTTTTCAGAACAAATTAATGAAATTGGCACACCATAGAGACCTACAATTCTGGACAAAGTAAAATATTAACGCTGTCATCTGTGGCAATTTTTCTGCTGGTGCAGGAACCACCAGACAGTGTGTGTGTGTGTAGAAGGTAACAACTTCCACCTCTGTAAGGGAGAGGAAGTGTAACTCCACAAGGTTTTTAATGTTTCCCCATCATGGTTTACAGACACTGTGATGGCATAAATGAGTGCCTTTTTGTCGTCTTTGAAGAAGACCCCCAAATATAGCTCATTCCGACTTGATTTCGGCATTGAATATTATTAGTTGGTCAATTGTGTTTCCAATTAAAAGCTGTTCATGTGGTAAACTGACTTCCATCTTCCATTCAGCCGGAGCTGCCTCTTGTCTTTCTCTCGGGATCCTACCGGTTGGTGGTGGGTTTTTTTATTTATTTTTTTAATTTTTTTTTAAAAGCTAAACCTGAAGGTTTCCCCCTGCGGAGAAGGCCGGTGTCTGCCATTTTTGAATAAAGTCGTTATTTTTGTTTTCTTTGCGCACAAAGTATTCTCGTAGCTTCATAAATTTACGGTTGAACCACTGATGTCACATGGACTATTTTTAACAATGTCTTTACCACCTTTCTGGGCCTTGAATGTGCTAGTTCTGTTGCTGTCAGAAAGCTCTCGGATTTCATAAAGTATCTTAATTTGTGTTCTGAAGATGAACAAAGGTCTTGCAGAACAACATGAGGGTGAGTAATTAATGACAGTTTTCATTTTTGTATGAACTATCCCAAAAATGGATAACTAACAAAACATCTTATGCAATATACTAAAATATTGAAGATTTATGTTTCAAAACATTTATTTTGTCGGTACTTTTGAATGCTGTTAATGAAGAGAAATTATTTTGGGATCCAGATGGTGTAGTTACAATATGTCAGTAGGGGCAACTGGACCATGCTAACCAGCCAAACATTGGTGGAGTCAATTTACATAACATTTGTGCACCAGATGCTTTTTAATTTGATATAAAATCCTCGATTTCAAAAATACTGAAATCATTAAGTGGAGCAAATGTTTTTTTTTGTTTCAGAAAGCTCTCGGATTTCATCAAAAGTATCTTAATTTGTGTTCTGAAGATGAACAAAGGTCTTTCAGAACAACATGAGGGTGAGTAATTAATGACAGTTTTCATTTTTGTATGAACTATCCCAAAAATGGATAACTAACAAAACATCTTATGCAATATACTAAAATATTGAAGATTTATGTTTCAAAACATTTATTTTGTCGGTACTTTTGAATGCTGTTAATGAAGAGAAATTATTTTGGGATCCAGATGGTGTAGTTACAATATGTCAGTAGGGGCAACTGGACCATGCTAACCAGCCAAACATTGGTGGAGTCAATTTACATAACATTTGTGCACCAGATGCTTTTTAATTTGATATAAAATCCTCGATTTCAAAAATACTGAAATCATTAAGTGGAGCAAATGTTTTTTTTTGTTTGTTTTTTTTTACATGCACTCATGTTCCAAAGCACTATATAAACAATACACTGATGAAATGTCTCTGAAAGATGTATCATTCTTGCAGAAGTCTAGTGATTTACAGTATGACAGGATTGTCATTGTTATTTGCAAGTTTTGACCCTTAAAACCACATTTATCTTTCCCTCCCAGTCAGTTTCGCAGGATATTGCTGCAGCAGAGGGGCAGAAGTCTTTTAAATGCTTTCTTAAAGTCCTCATTAAAGATGGTGTATATTAGCGGATTGATGAGGGAATTGAGGTATCCAAGCCAGGTGAGGAAATCTGCGAGTACAGCGGAAGTGCTGCAGTTTGGCCAAATATTCACAATCACCTCCTTCAGGAAGAACGGCAACCAACAAATCACGAAGGCTCCCAGGATTAGTCCTAATGTCAAAGCCGCCCGTCTCTCCCTGGCCCCTGGGTTCCTGCGGACTTTGATGAGATTACCTGATGAAGAAGTAATACGCACCCTTTCCCCATCTGTCGACGGATCGGAAAATGACTTCTCGACTGGACAAAATGTGTCGGGACTGAGGGCGATGTCTTTATCGGAGCTCATTCCAGGAAGCATGACGCTGCTCACTGTCTGTCTGACTAATCGGCTGCTCCCTCGACGATTACGCAGCGTCTCCGCTGCCTTGTAGATCTTGTAGTAAAGAACCAAAATGAGGGTCAGTGGAATATAGAATGCTCCGAAAGTGGAGTAGACTGTGAAAGCCACATGGTCGTGCTCAATCAAGCAGTCCATGACTTCCCTTTCCCCATCTTTGTGTTCCAAAGGGAATTTCCTCAACACTAAAGGTGGTAAAGACACCAGCACTGACAATGTCCACAGGGCCAAAATGGTTATGATTGCTCTTTTATAGGTGCGTTTCTGGGAATAGGCCACGGCATCGGTAATGGCGCGGTATCGATCAAGGGCAATGGCGGCTAGGTGTAAAATTGAGCAAGTGCAGCACGTAACGTCGACACCCAACCAAAGGTGACACACGATCGGACCGAGAACCCACGTCTCTTCTGCTATGTACACAATGCTGACGGGCATCACCAGAACAGCTACTAGAAGGTCTGTCAAAGCTAGAGAGCAGATGAGGTAGTTGGCTGGTTGGTGGAGTTTGTGGGTGATCAGGATAGCAGTGATAACCAGGGAGTTGATGGCGGTGGTCGCCACAGCCAGGAAGGAGAGAGTCAGGGAGAGGAAGATTTTACTGGGACTCATCTTGCTGGCCAGAACATCAGAGAGATCCACTGATGAGCAGTTGATGGGGTCCATGGTGAAAGTATGGTTGTGGCCTGTAAGGGATGGATAAAGAAAAAGTATGAGCAAGAGCAAAACTCATTTGCGTTGGAAAAAGAAAACGCATTGACTTTGCAATTTACATTGATATCATGAAGTGTGAAATTAAAAACATGTTAATACCAACACAAGTCTTAAATCAGTCAAACCATGACATAACTCTGGAGAATGTGTTATAGAACCTCATTATTTTAGTGGGTATTTCTTGAATTTATTTCCCATGTATTTATTTTTATAGAAGAGTCTAGCTGACAGATTTCAAAACAGATTGTATTTACACTGAACAAAATTATAATATATTATATAATATATTTTATTTTTGCCCCCATTTTTCATGAGCTGAGCTCAAAGATCTAAGACTTTTTCCATGTACACAAAAGGCCTATTTCTCTCAGATATTGTTCACAAATCTGTCTAAATCTGTGTTCGTGAGCACTTCTCCTTTACCGAGATAATCCATCCACCTCACAGGTGTGGCATATCAAGATGCTGATTAGACAGCATGATTATTGCACAGTTGTGCCTTAGGCTGGCCACAATAAAAGGCCACTCTAAAATGTGCAGTTTTATCACACAGCACAATGCCACAGATGTCGCAAGTTTTGAGGGCGCGTGCAATTGGCATGCTGACTGCAGGAAGGTCCACCAGAGCTGTTCCCTGTGAATTGAATGTTCATTTCTCTACCATAAGCCATCTCCAAAGGCATTTCAGAGAATTTGGCAGTACATCCAACCGGCCTCACAACCGCAGACCACACCAGCCCAGGACCTCCACAGCCAGCATACTCGCCTCCAAGATCGTCTGAGACCAGCCACCCGGACAGCTGCTGCAACAATCAGTTTGCATAACCAAAGAATTTCTGCACAAACTGTCAGAAACCATCGCAGGGAAGCTCATCTGCATGCTCGTCATCCTCATCGGGGTC